AAATATTATTTGTAAAATCAATTATATGAAGGAAGAACCTTCAGCAGTTCAGAATCAATGGTGGGGGGGAACCACCCACATATACTGCTGTGCCATGAAGGAGGGTTCCCACCCCCCACAAATTAGGATAAGATATGGAGGAATCCAGATCTTTCCCCTCCAATGTATGTAATGTATACAACTGCATATTACAGTGGTTCCACATCTAAAATGGACTTCAATAAATGGTTGAGAACCAAGTGAGAATATCAAAAATAAGAGTGGTATGGTACCATCTTTTTGTTGTTGTGCCATATCCTTCATCGGACATTGGCAATCATATTGGTGATCCTATTTTTATCAACAGCTGCACAAAAAGAAATGCTGCTGAGTTTTGTCCAAACCAGTCCCTTAGATTTTGAAGCCATGATGTTCTTCTTCTGCCTGGACCTCATTTTCCTTCAATCTTTCCTTGGAGGATTAAGTGAACTATGCTGCATTTTTCTGGATTTTGCATCACATGTCCAAAATATTGTAACTTTCGCTTTTTTATGATTTTGATAATTTCCCTGGGCTTTCCCAGGTGGATTATCACCTCATTTCTGATTTTGTCAACCCAACTTATATGTAACAGTCACTTGTAAATCCACATGCTTCTAGTCTCTTCAAGTGGCTTTCTGTCAGAGACCAACTCTCCACTCCGTAGAGCAGGATAGAAAAGATGTAGCATCTGACAAGCCTGATGCTACCATGCCTGAGACCAATTCAACTTCTATCAGAACTTCACTACTAATTCTAAGTCTTATCCATCCATGGTACAATATTGATTAAATTTACCAGCTAGGTGCAAAGACTGCAACTAGACAATACATGTCAAAAAATCTAGAGACTTGCACTATGATATAAATGTCAACCATTGTTTAATTTATAAGTCAAGTGCTGTCAGCTCCAAACTGTTGTTTGTTTTAAGTCTTTAAACGTTATCTTCTAACAGTCCTATTTTTTCCAGGTTGAAAATTTAACTAATTAAATTAAGACCATACATTTATAAAGTGCACATTATAAATTTATGTTATTAAATGCAAAAGGCTTATAAGTTTTCATAGAATGATATTTTTGAGATGATCGGATAGGTTCAGATATCTCGATGGTCAAGCGTTGTTTATAACAGACAAGGTAATTCCCCCACTTACCTTTCTCCCCCATTTCATGCCCATATTTATGGCTATGTCTAGATGAATAGGGATGATTTGCATTTAAGATGTCAGTAAATTATATTGTGCATATTGCATACAAAACTGACAATTGCTGAAATCCACAAGGAACGGTGAATAACAATAATTATGCATCAACTATGACATAAATTTAAGAGCTACAGAACAACCACCAAAAAAATTCTCCAATCCTTCTCTATTCAAAAGAAAGTAGTAATTTTCCCCAAATGGTTGAGGAATTGAAAGAAACAGCTACAAATTAAGTATTTTATTTCCTTCCAAAGAATAGTTTTAAAATTCTAGATTAGATTTAACAAGTCTCTTCCAATTCAGGCCAAAAAGTCCATTCACATGTTCCAGTTCTATTAAATAAGATCAGCAATAGATCTGCTAGTTTATTTTTATAGAATTATCAAAGAAACTTATTTTTTTTAGCCTATCTTCTAAAGTGCTCTTACTGAAAATTCTTCCGAATGAAACAAACTGACTAAACTGAGCAGTTTCAAAATAATCTTGTTGAGTTTTCTTATTCTGGTAGATGGAACTTTTTGTTTTTTAATCATCTGCTGAAGATGTCCTCCACTCATCTCGGATGCTTTTGCACAAGTGACTACAGTTCTCATTTGAACTCTTTTTTACTTTCTGTTCTTTATCTTTCCTACTTGCTGTCTTTTTCATGAGTTGCTAAGAAGCATCTTTGAGACCTTCCTGTGACATGCAAGAATTGCTCTTATGAAAGGCTGTTCATTGTGGGAAACAGGATGTTGTGTAAGATGGGCTTTTGATGTGATCCAACATCAAAAAGTTTGTCTTCTTCTGTTAAAGAAGGATGGGATGGGATGGCATGGAATTAAAAACAGAATACGTCCCCTAGCCCTTCAAATGCCTGGGCAGAATTTCAGAGAAAGACATCTATTTTTTCTGCAATACCTTCTTACAAACTATTACAATTGTTCAGTTTTTACTAGAACTATATATCCACATCATCAAGAAATGTAAGTAAAAGGTGACATGATTTAAGTCTAGTTAATTACCTCATCTTGTCAGCCTTTCTCATTTAATGCTCATTTTGAGGTAAAATAACATTGATTTCCCTCTCAAGAGTACTGTCATTATGCGAGAATATACCCCAAACTCTCAAAGGACCTAAAAGGTGCTTGCTTGAAAATTAATCTTGTGTCAAACAATTCTTGTTTTCCCAGATAAACTTACGTTTACTGAAAAGGTGCAAATCTTAAACCATTTTTAACCTGATGCCCCCCATTCCAACTGGGAATACAAGTACCACAATATTCAGAATTCTACACCTGGCATATCTGGAAAGGACCACAATTAAATCTTAATTCATATTTGTTTAATTTCACTGCTGTATATAGTCAGTTTTGTCTTAAGAGTCTTTATATCCTATATTCAAAAGCCAGTCTCTTTAAAGCACAAAATTCTGTTTTTCAGACACCACTTATATGTCTAGGATTCCTTGATATACTGTATCTTCCATTGATTTCCAGATTTCCAAAATAAAGCAGAGCTGTGCTCCAATCACTTAAACATGTTTTCAAAAGGACAAAATAGGAGGTAAGTGTTTTCTTGGGTCACATCCCACAACCACAGAAATCAAGAGCTACATTCAGATTTATTGCAATGTTGGCATTTTCTTTCAGCAACCACTATTCATATCTTGGCATGTTCACTGTGGACAGTTCATCACTTTTGCACTTTCTTTTTTGTACACTGAAAATCAAACACCAGAAAGCTGAATGTCATGGTGCTAGGAATGGGGAAGGAATAGATAGATAGATAGATAGATAGATAGATAGATAGATAGATAGATAGATAGATAGATAGATA